TTTGGTCTTAAGCAAATTTGCAGGCCAATCAGATGTGTGGGTGCACTAAAGACAGTTAAGTTCCATCACTCTTCTTGCAACATCAGTGGGGCTAAGAGGGCTGCAGCCTTACTTGGAAGTAAGTCCCTCTACATTCAGTGGGACTTCACTGCCATGCAGACTTGCTTAGAATCTCAGGGTTTAGCAAACAGATGTTGGGCTTGTACTGCAGATGTTGTGTGACAGCCAGCCTTGGAGGAAAGGTGCCCTGGAAAACCTTGCTTTTATTCAAACAGTTCCTTTAGTATGAGAAAATATTTGGATGACAAGGGGTGGGGTCCTGGCTAGGGAAGATGCATCCCCTTTCTTTTTTTTCTTTTCTTTTCTTTTCTTTTTTCTTTTCTTTTCTTTTTTCTTTTCTTTTCTTTTCTAAAACAAACTTACAATTTGAAAATAGTTTACAATGTTGCCTGCAAACCAAAGGGACCACTCCCCTTTTTGGCACCCCCAGCCCCCAAACATGTAGGCACCAGATCACTCCTGGCAGTGGGCTCCTTAATCCATTTTGGTTTTGCTTTAAATCCTGAGCTCTCCACGGTGTTCCATGAGAGCAAACCTGTTTTAAGGATCAAGCTCTGCACAAGGGATAGATCCTATGAATCGCAGGATCGAGCCTGCCCCAGAGAAGGGCCCGCTGGCACACATTGCAAAACCCACAGCCTGGCAATGCTTTTATTGGGACCAACAAAATCTGTGCAACGTTGTGAGTGAGCTTCCAACATCATCAGATCAAGTATGGTGTGACCAGTAGTAGTAATATTAAAAACAAACAAACAAACAAAAAACTGGGTTGAGGGTTTAGGGAGAGGCAAGAAAGTCTGGCTTGCTGTCGAAATCACAATATCTGCTTGGTCAGAGATTTAAGTTCCCATGCGGGGAGGAAGCATTGCAGACCCTGTTATAGGGCTGCAGAACATCAGGCCTGGGGTCAGGAAGCCACGGCCTCTTCCCTCGGCTCCATCCTGACTCCGATCACGAACTGCCTTTGTGCAATTTTGCCTGAAATTAATTTTGCTGAAATTAAGGTCTTTCCCTCAATTACTGTCAGCAGGAGCTTAAAGGGGAGCTACATGGGTTGTTTTGGCCCCAGCCCTTTCGCAGTCTTCGTCTTCAGTGCTGCCCACCCCCCATTCCTCAAGAAGGCAACCCCTGACCACGTCTCCCTGATGACATTCAGCCCTCAGGCTAAGAAAGGTCCCACACCGAGGGGGCAGTGCAGGTTTCGAGTTCTACAACTGCGTGGACAAACAAATCCATCATGGCCGATTCCTGCAAGGAAAGTGAAGGTGTGATGGGGAAGCCACTCTGGCTATGAACCACTGTATGTCTCCTGGCTGTAGGCCAGTGGGATTCAGATAATTTGCATGGGCTGCTGGAGGGTTACACGGTGGCCAATGCACCCTGGCAGGAAGCCACCCTGGCTGGGTGCTTCGGACATGAAAGTCTATGCTGCCAAGGGTAAATTCTGCTGATCTCCTGAGCACATGACCAGCATGTGTTGTGTGGGGAATAACCCACCCTGGTTTACTCCTCCTTGCTGCGCTCCATGCTAGCTGGATCCTTGCATGGCGACTACAGCCTTCCCAGGAAAAGCACCACCACACAAATGCACGGTGTGATCTGGGAAGGCTGCTGGGTTTTGCTGTTTTCCTTCACTGAGATGTCCTCTCCAGCTGGGACCCAGCTCTGTAGAACCACATGAATTATCCTCTGCACCCAAGGGAGTCCTGGGCGCGTGTTTCTCAAAGCACCATCTCCCTCTCCCGACACACTGCAAACCCAGAGGCAGTTTTGCAAGTAGGTTGTGAGCATGGCAGAACGGAAGATCAACCATTGGAAGAGGAAGAAGAGGAGGGGACAGAAATTCCACTGGATGTGCAGCACCCCTTGGCATACCTGAAGTCCCATTACTCTCAGCGGGACTTGTTGCAAATCAACAGGCTTCGGGCTGCATGCTAGCATTGCTTTTGGGACCCTGCGCATATGGTTTAATTTTGTGGTACTATTTCAAGTCAGAAAGCAATTGCAAGAGCATTTCCTGGAAATATTGCAACCCTTTTCTGGGGGCAGCAGCTTCGAGCTGAGCCACATGAACCTTTTGTGTTTCCTCCTTTTTGTTGCTCTAATTTCACAATATCACTATTGTTAGCCTGCAGAAGGCTTAACAAGGGGCACTAGGAAGCAGAGCTGAGTTCAGGGAAAGAGGCTCCCTCTCGCCCTCAGCCTGTCCTTGCTCTTGCAAACATTCAGTGTAAGTAGCAGCTGGCTGGTATCGTTCTCAGGACATCTCTGAGTTCCAGAGCTACTGCCAATAGCTAGCGCTGAGCTAGAGAGAGACTCACAGGTCCAACTTGGTACAAAGCAGCTTCTTCAGTCAGTCAAGCAAAGAAGCCACATCCAAACGCAGCACGGTGCCAGTTTCTGCCTAAGAGCCTCCCTCGATAATTGGGTTGAGCTTGCGGTTTTAGCCCACTGAAGCTTGCAAAATCAATGAGCCATTCCCACACTTACACCGCCATGTAGAACAGGAGTAGAAGAGGCATTGCTGCTGAGCTGCTATACAAACCAAGCCAGCAGCACCGCTCAAAGCGGAATCTAACAAATCAGGTTTCTACAGCGGGTCCAGTAACAGAAGAATAATTCTTTCCATTTATGGCAGTGATCCTTTACCTTCTCACTGGGGAAAAAACCCCAAATGGACAAGTTAAAGTTTAGCAATCAGAGTTCTAGATGTCAGTTTTGGAGACAAGTTATACAGATCCTGATTGTGTAATGTCATGCAGATATAATTTAAGGTGGCCCAAAGTTTATATTCCAGCAGAGTCCTGTCCAAATCCTGTATTTAGGACTTCATTTCATGATGCATTTACCTGCCACTCTTCTGGCACCTCTTTTCCATTTTCTTTATAGGTGGAAAAGTGTGTCCGTTACACATCCCCCCCCCGGGGGGGGTTGTCTTCCTTTGCCTTTTCGGATGTTCGGATATTCTATCACACAACCATAAGTCAGACCAGGGGTATATCTGCCAGTTGTTCAGCCAACTCACATGCTGGCTGGGGAATATGGAGAGTTATAGAGGATTTCTTGTCTCAGCATATCTTTCGCAAGTCCAGTCCAGTCATTCAACCATGAAGGAAGGAACACGCATAGAAAGGAATCGGGGTGGCCCCAAACTTGAAGGCTTCCATACTTGTGGTGTGCGTCATGCCAGGGACAAGCTGCGTATACTTAAGGGTGTGTGCACAGGCTCTGGACTAATGGGGCCCTTGAACACAGATTGGCCCCAAGACTGAAGCGCTATATGGGACTTGGGAGATCCACCTTCTGAGCCCCACTCTGCCATGGGGGACTTTGGGACAGTCACTTGATTCCCAGCATAGCCTACCCCACAGGGTTGTTGTGGAGCTGAAGTGGCGAGAAAGAGAAGCACGTATGGTTCCTTCCAATTGGGGTTAGGAAGAGGCAAGATAAAAATATAATACTAGAAGAAATAATAAAAGAAATAAACCTTCCATACATGCTTTCATGGATGAACTTAGGAGAGGGTTCAGCATATAGCAGAGAAAGCGACAAAGGGGCTTTTCTCTACAGAAAAAAAAAGGTCCATAATTTCTGTTCCTTTATTCTCATAGGGTTTGACCGCCACACCCTAGAAAGCCACCCATGAGAGGGATACAGAGTCCTTGACTGGGTTTATGACTGCTGGTCCCATTCAGTGCATTTAAGACGTGCAGGAACTCACATCTTCCCTGCAACCTTAGACCACCCCACAGAACAAAGGAAAAAAAGTCATCTTGGCCTGATGCAAGCACCCCAGAGGGTGGGAAGAAGTACAGACGCCTGGAGCCAAGGCCCTCATCCAATCGGACTTCCTCACTCAGTCCCTTATTGCCAAATGTTTGCTCAGAAACGCTTTCCAGGCCTTTCTGGGGTTGCATTGCAAATCTGTACATTGCCCCATGCTGGGGAATTGCCTGTCTCCAGAGGCAGAAAAGCTGAGCTCCCAGCCTTCTCCATCCTGCCCTGGACTGAAGGAGAGGGCCAGTGAGCAGCAGCACAGAGGTGCTGGCTTGGCACTCAGTGATGCCCTGGATGCGGAGTTGCTCCATCCCAGGGCCTCCGCCTCCCTGAGAGATGCGAGCGTGCACTGGGGGGCGGGGGGGGGGGCAAGGAAAGAGCTGCATCCCTTCCTGCAGCGAGTATATTCTGTCATTCTCTGACAGAACATCGCCCTCTCGCTCCAAGTTGGGGGGCCACTAACGGGGGAAACAAGCCGGGGGCCCCCCCCCACCCCCCCCCCCCCGCCCAATTCAGGCCCCGCCACTGGAAGGCTTCACACGGTTGACCTCCTGAGCCCGTTTCCAGCTCTGGAGCAGGGACTGCCTCTTTAAGAGAGGGGGTGGGTCTCCCTTTTTTCCTTTCCGAGGGGGGCGGCAAATTGAAGGGGGAAAAGGTCTGAGGAGAGAGCGCCTGCCCAAACGAGGATTCCTTCGGGCTTTCTGGGATCCATTCAGGAATCCCTGCTCGCTTTGTTTCTGGGGATGAATGAAAGACTAACGAATCAGCGAAACCCCGTTAGGGCGCTTCCAAAGCGGGGAGAGCGCGCGCGCGGGGTGGCTCTCGCTGGGGGCGCACGCGTGGCCAAGGGAGGGGAGGGAAGGGAAGGTTTTGGGCGTCCGCCGCCACCGCCCCCAGCACCTTCGCAAGGGAAAAGCCAGCAGCAGCTGCAGGAGGAGGGGGAGGGGGCGGGGGAGGAGGAAAAGGAGGAGTGACTTCGGGAAGGAGGCTTGCAACCTACCCAGGAAGCCGCCGCGCTCTCCGCAGCTGTGCAGCCCTCCGGTGCACGCAGCGGCCACGCCAGCCCGCGCTGGGCTCCCGGCGCCGCCGTCCCCGCGCCGCGTGTGCGCGCGCCCGCCCGCCCGCCGAGCCGCGCGATGGCCGGCTGATCGCCCCGCGCCGCGAGCTCCCGCCGCCGCGCGCCATGGCTGCTAAGGAGGACCTGTACAGCAGATGTTCTGTAG